TACGTTATGCTACAAAAATATTCCCTAAAGACGAAAAGTATAGGCTGCTGCTTTGCCTGAGCGTAGGTTAATTTAACGTAGCAAACAAAAATTCTGAAAACAATATTTGTGATATTGGTCGACTCTTACAAAGTGGGTGCTAAAACTTTGGCCGAACTTCGAAAAAGTTGGACTAAAGCTGGATAACGGAAATATCTTTCAATATTTTCGGGTAGAGATTCTAGATCAGTTTTCGAAAAACTTTGGCTAAATCGCCATTTACAGATTGATTTCACTTGCTGTACATTGCCATTTGGTTGCGTTTCCCTGATTGTCTCATTACCGCGTACTGCATTTCGATTAGGAGAAGTAAGCGCAACGATAGTTCTGTAGTATAAAAACATTCACTGTTCCAAATTTTTAGGGAATCGAAGCGCAGGTAACTGTGAACAATCGGACGAGGAAGGGATTGAAAGAATGTGCTCTTCAATTATGCATGAAAACTCAATTTGAAGCTATGAGCAGGTTTGCCTTTACATTTTGCTGATCTCACTTGTATCTACCCTCGTTAAAGCATATCCCTTTATTATCTACAAATTGTATCAGGAAAGGAAAAGGTCTGCTTGTGATATTCTTGATATTCATCTATTAAAAGATCTCTGATGTAGTATCAAATCACTTATTATCTTGGAACTAGATTTTCTTAGTACTTGCTTATTATAAAATTGACTCAGAAAGAAACTCGCGTTACTGCAAACTCGATATCTGTTAATTTCAGTTTTCAAAACTGTATCGGGACTACAGGATACAAAGTCCAGATGAATACACATGTAGTTTTTGCAAATTATCAATCGAAAATGCTACAATACAGCACCCATCTCTCTGCTTTAAGCTAGGAATAAGCATTGGTATATTTTTGATTCAGAGTTTTTGTAATATTGGAGCTTTGTGCTTTTTGCCACAGACTAGTTTTCAGGTTTTTACTGAAATCGCGGATGAAGTTCATGTGAATGTGAACTTCATCCACAACTTTAGTATTGTTGGTAGCTCGACGGGCTACGTAATTCAAGTACCTAGCTGTTTTGAGGAGATTGCGTTTTCTACAATTTCTCTTTTACACACTATCTGCGGAAGTTCGCTATTGGTCATATTTTATTATAAAATCACGATTTTTCCGTGAGAAACTGAAACAGACGAAATTTTGCCGGGAAAGGGACAGTGGAATATGGACCGTTTGAAAGTAGAACTACGGTTATATAGAGAAACACGAATAAATTTACCTGGGTCGCAGAATGCTCCACATTTGGTACCATGAACCGCTCAAACTGTTCATATTCTAGAATTCAAAGTTTTCAAAAATGTTAAGGCTACTTAGTTCTCATATTGGTGAGAATTCCCCTGGAATGGCAACCACACAAGGAAAATATTATTTCTACGGTCCAGACCAGTGATGAACAGCCCTGTTCTTGAGGCTATCTACTAGAATGTTCACGAACTAATTAGCAGTGCATTGACAGAAAGATTAACTTCATGTATAGCTCGTAACATTTTGTTGGACCTCTACGAAACAATGCAAAAATGGCAGAGGTTGACGTCAGCAACAGCAACATAATAAAGAACTTATGTTTATGACCCTTTGTAGACTTTATCTAAGAAACTTTTTACACAATGACATCATTTCCAGATATGAGCATGTCAATGAGAAAAAACTGAGTGAACATCTTATAGAGATGGCTGCGCTAGGGAAAGTGAAAGCTAGGCACAAACAGGTAAATTGTTAAGCAGCTGTTAATAAGGATGAAATAAAAACAAATGGTTCAGGTTTTCGCAAAATGTCTCATACGAATCCCCGAAGGTGCTCCACCGACTCAAAACTACCATCGAGGAGGTGGCGACACCGCAATCATTGCTATACATTATGTGCTCAAATTTACAGCTCTTCCAGGTAAGGAGTAATTTAACTGTGAAAATGAAACAAATCATCATCATGCTTTATTGCAGGCATCGAATGTGAAATTCCACTTATTGTTACCTCAATAGGCTACGC